AATTCCCCCTCTCCCACAGGGTTTTTTTTTCAAAGGGAAAACCCGAGTTTAGGTTTTCCCCCAATTTTTTTAAAGGGGTCCTTTGGGGCCCTTTCGCCAAAATTTTTGTTTTTTGGAAAAACTCCCCCCCCTTGGGCTTGTGAATTTAGTGCTGGGGGAAAATATTTTTTTTTAACCCCCCCCCCCCCCCCCCCCCCCCTCCCCTTCCCCCAACCAAGGATACAACTACTAATTTACATTTTTTACTCAAAGAATATTATCCCATTCAAAGAGGTACCCAAAATTGCATTCTCATTAAAACCATTCCAAGATTCTCTCCCCGAGGTTATAAAACCTGACATGTAAGTGCACGCTCCGGGCAAACTTCTCACGTTTTTATCCACTAGAGAGTGATTAACTCATAGGTACAGGACCGCTCCAAATAACTCATCCCGCCTCAATGCAAACCGAATGCTTCGCGCAAAGAAGATTCTTGCATACGTTGCAGAACGTATCGACCCGCAAAATGTAGAAAACCCAAGCGAGGATGCTCTGAAACCAGAAGAGTATCTCGAGCTATACTGTCAAAACACTGTAAGCAACTCTATATTAACATATATTAAAATGACCTAGATGGGAAACACTAACACAAGGTTATGTAGTTAATACCTATGGACATGACTCTCGCAACGATACGTACTCACATATGGCGAACAGGAAATGATATGGTTCTCGTCTACAAAGCAAATGGAAGAAGAAAGATTCCGATTCCCGAAGAAGATAGCGAGACACAAGAGAACGAAGGAGAACCTGGAGTTAGTGTAGAAGCTTCTACCACTCCAGGCCCTGAGCAGAAACCACAGGCTAACGGAAAGCACGCTTCGACAGATGCTCCTGTGCAATCCCATTCAACAATAGTGACGGAAATGATTTGAATGACCTCACAAGCCCTATGATATTTTGGTTTATCTACATTATATATAGACAAGGGAGTCGAATTGGCTTATTACTACTGAGAGTATATATAGATAGTATAGTTAAGCTGCCACTCTTTATCTGATTCATGGAGGAAATCAATAGTATCATTATTAGGATTCATTGTGCAGGACTGTAACCACAGAATATATACTAATTATAAACAAAACAATAGAACAACAGAATGTACATCGTGTAGGTAGTAGGTATCAAGAAACCACGCAATTCTCCTTTGTATAAACGCCAAAGAGAAAAAGGTTCGTGGATAGAAGCAGAAACAATCCAATTCCAATCAAATAAGTGTCCACAATGTATAACTGCATATAAAAACGTAGCAACTTTTTACTTTCCCATAGGAAAACGAAGGATTGGAAGAAAGGCAAACCAACAGATAAACCAACCAGTTATCATGGGCGGAATCCGTCGGAAAATACTGTGGCGGCTATCAACAAATCTATTAAATACCTATTTTTTTGGAGGCGCGGGAGCGGGAGGCTCCAGTATGTGAGTATGCCCAGGTGCGTTGATAATCTGGCCGGATTCTTCTTGTCTGCAGACTTCACAGCTCCTTACCCACTCGTTTTCCAATATGTCCTGTAAAGTTGCTCGTTCTCGCGGATCGAGTTTCAGTAAACGGCTGATAAGGAGACGGGACTCCCGAGGTAGAACCCTTAAGAGCCGCCAGGGCCCTTTAATGGGTTCTTGACGCTGGCCTGTAGCTTGTTTCTCTGCATTTCCCGCTATTTTTGCAGAAGTTTCATCCTTGGGGTCGTTGGTAGTAGGTCCCGATTTAGGATATTCTTTGTTATCTGATCTACGGCGATGATGGTGAACTTGGCTGTCGTCTTTGATTCCATTCGCAGTAGAATTATTTCCCGGTTCTCCAACCATGGACCTTGGCCGCCCTCTGGATGGATTACCAAACTCATCTGGTGGTGGGGTATTAGGGGATGGTTCAGCAATAAATAGTTTGAATGAGTTATCCTCTTCCTTAGGCTGTTTCCAGGGAAATCGGCGGAGGATCATGCAGCAGTATATAATCGCAAGAGACCACATATCTGCTGCACAAGGGTCATATTTCTTTCCGTCGTAAACCTCAGGGGCCAAGTATGGGTCTGAACCAACGACGCCTATATTCTCATTAGTGACGTTCTTTTTCCGAGGTATAGTGGATATAGGGAAACAGTTAAAGCGTACCTGTGGCTTGAACGGTTCCGGTTTCGAAGGGATATCTGAATACCACTGCACTGCCGAAGTCTATCAATTTCATGATGCCTTTATCGTTGACCACGACGTTATCTAGTTTGAGGTCTCTATGAGCCAGGCCCATGCTATGAAGATAGCTGACTCCATTCACAATTTGCAGCCATGAGCAAGCGATCTCCTCCCTTGTCATCTTCCCAGTCATGACAATGGCAAAGAGATCAAAAGGCGCAAATTCCATCACCTCATACCAATTGCCGTTCTCACGAATGATGTCTAGCGTCTCAATAATGTTACCATGGTGTAAAGTAGAACCAATGCAAAATTCTGCAGTTACTTTCTTAGCATACTCCCTCTCCGATTCCCAGGAGTGTTTTTCTCTAAACTGCTTGACAGCAAAAGTGACACCGTCCGAACTGCGCTTGAGCAACCTGACAGATCCTCCGGCGCCTGCTCCCAGGACTTTACCAAGTTTTCCATACTTGGACTGCAGACCATGGTCATCGGCAAAAGGCACGCTGGGGGCAGTAGATTGGAACGGAACATGTTTTAGGGAGGATTTAGAAGATTTCATAGAAGATGGTGACTCTCCCCGTTTGTGCTTGCGATCCATCCTAAAGAAACGCCTTAGCTCAGACATTGAGCCCGAATGTCTGGCATCAAATTTATCATCTTGAAGATGCCGATCTTTCTTGCCACCGAAGATGTGGGAGTGTTTATGGTGGTGGTGATGATGATGGTCCTTGGCCTCAGATGCATGAGCAGAGCGTGGGATATTATGTGTGGATAAGGAAGTTGTAGAATGTGATTTATGTGGACGGCGTTTGGCGTCAACGCCTCCGAAAATGAACCTCTGGTCTATATTCGCTAGATTTTTTGTTTGCGGAGGTCTCTTATCTCGAGCGTAAGGATCATTCTCATCGCCTAAGGGAGTGATTGTACCTGATCCAAGGAGCGGGGAGGCAGGCCGTTTGGCTTCAAATCGGGGGGTACTTGGAGGGCTGTCCTCAGATGGGCCAACAAAAAATTTCCCGCGGTTGATATTTGAGAGTTTTGGTGGAGGAGTATTGCTATATCCCGAGACTGGACGAGTGGAAGGGGCAGTGGAGGGTGAGGATGGCCTGGAGGAGGTGAACGAGTGCTGGTTTCTCATGTATTGTTTAGAGGGCCGTTCGCTGGAAGAAGAGGCTTCTGGCGTCATTTCTACTGTCTCTAGTAATGCGCGATTATGTCCATCCTTTGGATTCTCGGGCAGGTCGATGGGGCCGAAGGCAGGAGATTGCGGTTGTGAGGGAGGAGGAGACATTCCAATGGATCTATTAAAGTCACGGATGCTCGAATCTCGGGAAGGAGCCTATCACGAAAAATAAAATTGAACAGGTATTAGTCTGATGATTCAAGAGACTGCTCAATTACTTATAATAAGCGTCATAGACAAAAGTATCGTCTAGGACAAAAGAGATGTCCATATTCACATACCCTAGAAGCAGGTAAAGACACCGGATCAAAAGCAAAATTATGCAGTCTTGTTTCCTGAAGCCTGGATTTCTGGAATGCAGAATCAAAGGGTATGGATTCACCACCAGGCCCTCGATGTAGAGATCCATCATTTCCCTTGATGGCTGTACCTGGAGAGTCGCTGGACGACAGAAGACTCTGGGGCGGTTCGATCTCCTGGTTCTGCGAGGCAAAACGGACAGTGTTTGGTTCCTGGGCCTTCTTCTCAGCTGATGCTGAGCTCGAGAGCGTAGCCATGATGGAATGAGCACTCTTTCCTGCTCCTTTCCAGGGCTTGATACACGGCTTCTGCTTCGTTGAAGATATATACGGGGTGTAGCTGTGATAATGTAGTTATGGCCCAGCGACGTTTGGCCGTAGCGGTGGAAGCAGGGCAGCTCTCAACAGACTTGCAGGCACAGAAGCATTCCTCTCAACGCGCGCATTCGACCTTTGGCTAACGTAGACTCAACGGCGACCGTCCTCGGCGCAGCACCGGCTGGGATGCTCTTGCTGGGGGCTTTTTTTCGCTGGGCCAAGCCAGGGAGGGCGCGAACAAATAGGAGGGGCACGGAAGCCAGAAGGATGCACGCCTGACGTCCGTTTCGCAATCGAAGGATGACAGCCGTTGATGGTCGAACAAACGACGAAGATTTGTTCCGTTACGATGAGCAAAAAGAATGAAAGATGAAAGATGAAGAGATTTTTTTTTTAAGAAGAAAAAGTTGCGGTAGAAACCAAAAGGTGACCAAAAAGCTTGTTCGGACTCAGATTTTCCGGGAACTTCGGGAGATGATCTTGATATCAAATTCTTATTATTTTTACTGTTTACTTATTCTTATTCGAACAGGAGAATGAGATGAATACATATAAATGGGCTCGCTTGAGGGACTTGCTGGTTGCGAGCTCGTAGCAGTCATGGTTCGCTCTTTTTACCAGGGGAAAAGCAGCAGCCGAGGTATCCGAGGCAGCTGGGAGATGAGTGGAAGAAGAAAGTCGTTGCTCTATCATACACTGTGGCTGTTGTACAATGCCGTACACTGCTCCGAGGAGCACCCAAGAAGCTCTCTAAAACATGGGGCTGCAGGATATATATAGAAGAGGAAGCCCAAGAAGTAGAATTTGCCCACCCGCAAACGCCTTGCAATGATCACGCCAACCCGTTCGATCCAGCTAGGTCAAACGCTCGGAAAAGTAGATTTGGTTCGGAAGATGTCCCCACCGATGAGTCCTTCTGTTATTCCCATTAGATGGCCACCTCCGAATGAACATCAGCAGAAGACCCGTTCACGGTACCACCTTGATGCCAATGGACTTCGCCTGGGCTATGATGCTCATACACAGTCCCTGAAGGCTCAAGCCCGATAGGCGAAGCTCCGTTTGCTTTATTTTTGCAATCTCGTAAACATGTTTCAACGAGACGTTCCCGATAGTCTCATGTCCTGGCCGCTCGCCGCCTCGGATGCGAGCTTTTCTTGGTTCCACCTTGGCTGCCTGCAAGAGAAGCCAGGACGTCACCGGGGTTCTGAGGTCGAATGTAAACGATCGATCGGGCCGAACAGTGACTCGTGCGGGTATGGGTGTTCCAACATTGATGTGTGCAGTGCGCGCATTGAACTCCTATTTGCGCTGTTAGAGATATACACATAAAAAAAAAAATTCTCACGGGGTAGCTTTGCCCCGTCGCAATTGGGTCTGAGAACCTAAATGGCATACCTTGCAGAAATCCATGGATTTCACACCTTTACTCCCCAGAGCTGGACCGACTGGAGGACTAGGACTGGCCTGACCGGCGCCCACGATGAGCTTCACGACCACGTCCTTTGGTATAGCTTTGGCTGCCATCGTCGCGGTTGCTCCTTTAACAGAGGGAGCAGGGCAGAGAAATCAACCGGGACAGTCTCTTCTCCCTCCTTTTCTTTCCAAAGGCCTAGCAGCAGATTCTCAATTGTTTGTTCTTCTTTTTTATCTCTTTGAAGTTCATAAAAAGTTCTTCCAGACTCACGCTAAACCTAAAACAGATAATCAAGCGCCAGCCGCAAGATCCTCATGACAGCCGCCGGAACCGCGCGTATTAAGAATTAGCCGCATCTTTTTTTACGCATAAAAAAAACGACGAGGAAAAAAAGACTTGGAGAACGAGAAGAAAGTGGAAAGTTGCCTTGTTTACGCTTCACCTGGACTCGGTTCTGCCTCTTCTGCTCGTGTTGAATCGTCGCGGCCAGAGTCTTGCACGGTACATCGTTTATCCGCCGCTTCCGCTCCAAGATTCTTGCCTGATTTCTTGTTGCCGCATCCTTCAGCTTGTTCCCCTCCATCAAGATCTAGATACAATCTCAGGTTCGCATACGCTCGCCCACAACCACAACTATGAACTGGTTTAAACAAACGTATGTATTCCTCTTGCCCGTGAACGACCATGTAGAAAACAGATGCGCTGACCCACTCACTCACAGCTTGGCCAATGTCGCCGGCACGCAGGAGCCCATCTATGGGCCCACGGCAATACAGTCGGTGGTCGACCACGCGAAGACGATTCCATACACTGAGGCGACCAAAGATCATCTACGATGGGCTGCAATGCAGTCAACTTGCGTGGAGACCCAGACGTTCTATCTTTTCTCGGATAACGGAGATATTGCCTCCCTCCAGTTGATCTATAACAATGTCGTGTGAGCTTTTTCAATGATGAAGATGTTGGAGCGTGTCTTTTTCTTGCTTCCCTTTTTGTGTCAACCACCCTTTGCGTATACGCTGGGTTTCTAATGTGCCTCACTTTCGCAGTGGTCTGCATACAACCTGCCAGTTTAACTGCAAAGTGTTCTCCACGGATCTGGCAAAACCTCATCTTTGGGCCTCCGATCCTGTACAGAACCACATATTCGACGAAGATATGCTCTCCTTTGGCGGTGATAATGTCGCCATCACTCTCAATGAGGAGGGAACCCGCGTACACTATTAAATCCGCCATAAACGAGGACAGCCTGGTTAATATTACACTTGCCCGCATAGCTCCGGGGTTCGTCGTTGGCAAGGATGGAACCTCAACATTTGGAACCGATCCAATGAATCCATGGGGCAGTATGCGGCATGCATTTTGGCCACGGTGCAAGGTCGAAGGCTCGATTATAACTCGTGAAAAGGAAATCGACTTTGCTGGAAGGGGTTTTTTCGTCCATGCGCTCCAGGGCATGAAACCACAACACCTCGGTATGCCCCAGCCGCCTTTCTTCCTCCTCACCCTCCCCATATGGACTCCACTCTAACCGCCCGATTGCCGATGCTAGCTGCGAGATGGAACTTTGTTGACTTTCAGTCGCCCACCTTCTCCGCGTGCATAATGGAGTACACCACTCCCCCTTCGTACGGTTCTACCGTCGTGAACGTTGGTGGTATTGCAAAGGATAGCGAAATTTTATACGCCGGTGCCCCAAATTCAGTAACACACACCGATTTCACTCAGGATTCTGAGAACGACTGGCCCGAACCAACTGCAGTGAAGATTGTCTGGTCAGGCAAAACAGCCGCCGGCAAACCATTCGAGGCTACGGTCGAGGGCTCCCTAGGGCCTAGGCTCGATCGAATTGATGTCATGGCTGAAGTCCCTGGGTTCATTAAGTCGCTCGTCGGAAGTGTCGCCGGAACAAGGCCATATGTCTATCAGGTCAGTTTGTGTCCATAACAGACGGACCGTGTTTATCTGACTTAGAACTAACGAGTTATATTTAACCAGTTTGTCCCACCTAACAAACTGCCCATTAGGATCAAAATCGGAGAGGATGAGGAAATCACAGAAGAAGGCACCCTTTTAATGGAAGCCACCTTCATCTCCTAGTGGCATGACATGTTACCTTACATATCTCATACTGCATATACTATTATGTTTTTACGGCTGGCGTTCGGGCGTGTCCCCGGAAGATTTTGTTACTTCACCCATACTGTCCCTCGTTTGTCTCTAGCACATCTCTGTTTGACGGCCGTTCTCCTGCAGAGTACATTCCACCCTCGCTGAATGGCGAAGGCACACCGGTATGTCAAAGGTCAATGGCAAGACGACCATGATGTCCTGGCATCACGTATATATACACACTTATATATACCCATACATATATTTATCAACTCCTGCTCATAGTCACTAATACCAATCCGCGGGCTTGCAGTCCATGAGATGCCAGATTCCCCCTTTTTTTTTCAAACCCACCAAGCTGTTCCTTTACAGGACGACGTGGACTCTAGACAATATATGTCTCTTGGATATACAGTAGGAGACTCCCTACAAGTTCTAAATGATACCTATGCCAGCTAGGAGGGTTTCACCAGTTCAAAGCAGTTGTCTTAAGGAGGCCAGAGCCAAAGTCTCTTTGTATTGTCATTCTCTCTGCTAGTTAGCTGTCTAGTGTTCTATTAATGTGTTTTTCTACCATCGTCCCAGTAACGCAAGTTGAACAACACAGCAGAATCATAACACAGCGCTGGTTCCACCCTCTTATATCGAATATTTCTCCCATACTCACTTTATCTCTCCAGTTTCTCTACTCTGGCCTTTGATATTTCAGTCTGTTGTTATTATCTACAGAGTCACCGCTTAGTATCTACACCCTCTTCTGACCGCACAGAGATGGAGGCCCCGTTGAAACTCGGCAAGAAGAAGAACTACACGTCAAAGTATCTACCCAAACGCTATCGGTAGGTCTAGCTGCTATTCCTTACTTACAAGAAAGGCTTGCCAATCATTTGATAGGAAAAACTGTCGGGACAACATCATGGGTATCAGTAAGTACAGCTGGACTTGACCTTCATAAAGAATATATAGACACATAGACCAGCTAACACAGCGCTTCTTGTAGCCAAGCCTGCCATCCGGTATGAGAATATACATATTATAGCATGCATAATCTGATATGGCCTTCTATCAAATGTATGAGAGTTAACCCCTTGTTTGGGCTCCAGTCGTCTCGCACGCCGCGGCGGCGTTGTCCGCATGCAAAAGGCGATATATAGCACAGTACGAGAGATCATTGTTTCTCGTCTGGAGACGGTAATGAGAAATCTACCTACTCAGACGTGTTGCGCACTGCTGACGCTCTCTACCTGAACAGATTCTCGAGCAAGTAGTCCAGCTACTCGAATCTACAGACACCCCTGCCAAAGCTCGGAAGGTGAGTGCCCTCATTGGCTGTTCTTCTCTATTATCCCTCTATACCAAGGCTAACAAAGCGGTTTTCATATCATAGACCGTTACGACTCCTGATGTAAGCTCATCTATAGCCCTCCTTGGTTGAATCCTCTGTGGCTAACATTTATACCGTCCAGATCATATACGTGTTAAAGAGAGTAGGTGATACTTTACTCTACACCTACATATCTTCATTTCGGGATCTAACAAGCGTGTTTATAGCTTGGAACCACTGTGTATGGTTTCGACAATCTATGATTTCTTTCTCTAGAGCCATTTTCTCCTACGACTCATCTAACAACCTGGAATACTGGGCTTATCCCTTTGAAGCTGTAATGTTGGTGATACCTGCTTGACTGCATACCACTGGTTATCCCTGAGCGAGCAAAGGCTGGTACACGACATGTCCTAGCGAAAGAATATCGAACTAGTTAGTTATGCAACAGGGATGTTTGAAGCCTGGCCAAATGGCCAAGAGGCTGCATGCTTACCTGACTGCTTCTACATAACTAGCCCTCAAGCTGATTTGATGGCCGTTGGCCGACCCTGCTATGTAATTATCTTCTCTCTCCTTCTTTAATATATGCATGAACGCGCGTTCAGCATACATCAACCTCCATACATATGTAGATGTTTTTTGGGGTTGGGCTTATTTAGTTCATGTAGTTTCTATTTCAACTGGCTAGCTGTCAACAACAGCTGGCTGTAATAGCTGGCATTGTATATAATAAGAAATATGATAATAATAGTAGTAGTAACCAAGTAACGAACGAGGGTATATAGCGGAAAACATCAAAGCAACGAATGTAAAAAGGAGACATTAACTCCAATCCCACAACAAAATAAAGAAATGTAAATAGATAAATATATACGAGTTACTTGTTCCTTTCCCTCATAACAGTGTGTTCCAAAAACCTCCGTGCCCATGCATCTTGCTTGTCAAAACCAACGTTAAACATCCCTGGTAGAAATCGCTTCGAATGAACGTGGTCGTCGGCGAACATAGGGCCGTCCAGGGTCCGTAGCCGACAATTAGCAATAGCTTCTTCCAATAATTTGGTGCCCACTCCATTCGATCTAGCGGGCTGTTTGACCGCCCACGCACGGATTATACCAGTCCATCTGGCAGAGCTTTTGCGCCTGGCTGACCGTGGCCGTACGCCCGGCGTACTAGCATCGGTAACCGTTTTGCATATCCTCATAACCAGGACACCAACAACATCTCCACCTTCCTCGTCCCGGGCAATAAATACTTCATCACGCCTATGCGATAGCCCGTGAACGGAGTCTTGTGAAAGCCAATTTATATCCCTTGTCTCCCGGATCTGGTCTAAATAGCCCTTGACCATAAAACGGACCACCAGGATCGCAACTAATATGCTCAACGTCCAGACGCTGAGGATTAGGATAAGGTCGGCGGGAGAGCCAGAGTAGATGATCTTAGCGCTAGATAGGAAGAACAGTATACCTGCCGCAAGCACTCCAGGATGTGAAATGATGGCTCTAGCTGCCAATTGCCGTTGCTGGACGACACTCTCTGATATGATACCAAGAGCAGAAGCCACTTCGTTCTCGGATTGAGTGGGAAATACGGAGAGGTGAGTGCTAGCAGGCAAAGCAGCGCTGTAGGGAGCGGAGTCAATATCTAATGACTCTATGATTTTGGCGCACCGTGCGGGTTTCTGGAACGCCGGAGACGGTAGACAAAGGCTTTCCTGACTGGTCGATGCATATAGAGAAGTACAAGGTGTGTCAGGAGTATTCACCAGGGAGATACCATAAGGCGAGGAAGGGTTATAGATTGCATCTTCGGGAAAAGTGGATATTTGTAAATTAGTCCTCAAGGAGGAAAGGAAAGCTATAATATTGAACATTAGGCCAGAGCTCCCACAGGTTCAAAAAAAAAGGGGGGGGGAGACAGATAATATCTTTCTTTTTATTGTCCATACCAATCGGAATAAGAAGCCCTGGGACATGATCGCCCATTGTCAAAGCCTGCAGCGATTCTTCAACGGCAGAAACGCCATGCAGGAGTGGGACACGAGAAAACATGGAATAGAGGCTATCCTTCGAAGCAAAGGAAGACAAACGAAGCTCCCGGGTCCTTGAGTGGCGCTTCATTTTGAAAAGGCGTCTGGCGATAATTTCGCACACGTCGAACAGGGTCGTGCTTAAAGTGGGAGGAGAAATGATATTTGCATCCAGGCAGAATAATATGGAAACAAGGCGTCAAATAAAACTGCGTTCATTAAACAAAAAGGTATGTAAATGGAAATAGTAAAATGATAAGCAAAAGGATTCCTTCAAGGAATATAACAAAAATTTCGGAGGATATGGCTTTCACGTTACCATCCTCGACGGCGAGGGATGCCCATGAGGAGTGACGAGTAAAATAGATAAAGAAAAAAAAAAAGTCGAAGGAAAAAGAAAAGAAGAGAACGGCCAAAATGGAGTTCCAGCGCACCAACCTGATGGTATATACTATCTAGGTACTGGTTCAGCCTCTCACTCGCCCATCCGTCTGCCTCCATGTCGAACGGGCCAGCAAGTCAGCTCGCTTGGCTGGGATCCCGCAGTTGATGCCGTTAGATTAATAACAGCCATCCGTCCCCATCTCTAGCGTCATCAACAGCCGAGTATGAATGGTCTGAAATGGGCGAGTTACCAAACGATGACGGTTGAGGAAGATGTTGGCGTAACTCCATCCTTGAACGTGGAAAAAGCAACGAGCGCCAGAAAACGTCAAGGGAGAAAAAATATGCCCATGTCGTAGAGCCTGAAACACGATCTTGGCTTTTCTCCTCTCTGATAGAGTCTGAACAGTCGATCAGGAGCGGTTCGTGTTTGAGATTCGCTTATTGATGCTGCTTATGCTGCTGGTGATGACGAGGAAGGGCGCCAGGATCTTGCTCAACAGCGGGGGATCAACGGTGGAATAGTGGATAACCCAGTTGAGATATGATATATAACTAACTAGTTAATATATCAATCTGCACTTAGTAAGGAGTTGTTGATCCAGGACAATCGATTAGCAACGCTGCGTCTGCTTGTTCTGGCGTATACTCTGTACGGAGTAGGATGGAGACACTCTTTACGCGGCGTCCCTTGCCATCCGCCACACCGCCGCGTATTTAGTACGGAGTACACAGAGTATGCACTGAGGATATCTGGGATGTGTTGGGCCGCTTCCTGGCGCCATCAAGCCTCTGGAACGTCAAGCAGCGGCCCATGGCTCCTGGCGAGTACATAGTAGTTTAACCAGCTAAGCATATGTAGTTGTGCGGGCCGGAGTTTGGTCTCAATCCCAGGCTGGTCGTTTGAGGACCTCGAAACACGTAATGTCTGGCTTCGTCTCGCTCGATCCAGCCTATCCAGGCGGCCGTTTGGGCGTGGACGGAAATCTGGTGGAAATCTAGATAGAGTCAGTTCCAGAGTTTGGAATACGGAAAATATGGAGAAGATGCCAGGTTTGCACTACAGGATATGTATATGAGAAGTCTCCCCGCGGTGGATATCGAAGAAACTAATGATATTGGGCTATCGCCAAAATATCAAGCTAAAAAGAAAGAAAAAAGAATAAAATGGTGACATTACTCTAAAGATGTACTTGTTGACTTCTTGTAATACATGTGACGAAAAGGGGGGAAAGAAAGGAGATTAAAAACATGATATGAACCGAGCAATTTAGCCGGAAGAACAACAGACAGACAGACGGAATGTATGTAGTATTCTCGCCACAGATACCCTCGCCAGACCAGACCGTGCTAGAAAGACACAAATATAACAGCAAAGCCCATGGCAAGCCAGTTGAGGGAACCATGAAGGCCGGGAAATATCAATGACCGCAAACGCCTAGAAACATAAGAAACAAGGGGTAATATCTCGGGTGTATAGGAGGATTTAGGATTTGACACTGGGGAAAAACGGGGGAAAGGGGGAAGGATGGTAGATATTGTCTAAATGGCGGCTGTTTCAACCATCAGCTGTTCACCTTCATCAAGTAGTGTGGTGATCTTTGATAGGTTCGAGATCATCCGTTTGCCGTGGCCAACCAGCAGCAGCTTTTCAGCGTTAGCGGGCAGACCTAGATAGGTAGGTGGCTCTCGTTCTGGTAGTCGATTCACCCATGCAAGGAAGTCCTGGATGCCCGTAGAGGTTGGTAGAATAAGTGCCTCGTCGTTCTCCACATCAGGGACCAGTTTATGGTCGTCTTCGAACGCTGCGGGAGTGAGGAAGGTATCGACCAGCTTAGTAAGAAGTGCGAAATCTCCGGCGTCGTCAATCTTTCCACCGTAGGTTTCTGTGATTAACGTCCGGATCAGATCCCAGGGAATCTTCTGTGGTGCAACATTCGAGCGGCCTTGGGCGATCGAGGCAACCCAGGTATCGATAATAAACGCGGAACATTCATACTATTGTTGATGTTAGTCATTTATATTAAACTACTAAATGGGTAGAAGGTTGATTGCACTCACATCGCTATCATTAAACTCCCAGAAGCCCTTCCATCCAAGGCTGGGCGCATAACGAAGCCGTTCTTGGATAACAGCATGAAGGAACGACAGTAGAAGGTACAGGCGAGCTTTTTCAACAGGTGGGCTTGTTGCTCTCAGGCTAAGGGACGACAAGGAATCCTTCACATTTGCGCGAACGCCAGCTGGTTGTTCATACATCAGAACTCTAGATGCTCTAATTAGATTGACCGGAATCTTTGGACTTGATTCCATGGATAAGAAGAGTCTGAAATCGTTATGCGGCTTAAGAGACTCGAGGCGTTTTTCAAGGCTCTGAAGCCAAGATGGAGCAAGGTGAACATTCTTGACAAGTACCCAATTTCCGGTTGCTGCTGCATTGCTAATGGCCTTATCTGCGCTTTCAAGACCTTCATTTGAACCCATGGCAATATTGGCGCAGCTTCTGTGCGTTCTCTCCACAAGACCATCCACCTTATAACTTGCGTCGAATCCGGGGTTGGAACTAAGGGCAATCGGGGTGGTTGAAGTTACTTGCTCGACGACCTCCTTCAAGTCACCACCGTGATCAAGTAAGTCTTTACCGAATACAGTAACGACGAAGCGCTCTGCGGCGGGAACAAATCGGTCAAGCCTAAGGAGTTTAACAAGTAGTAACGAGCGTAGCTGTTGGTCAAAGGCGCTGGTTCCTTCTTCCCAAACAGAAGGAACAAAGTTCTCGGCGAACTCTTCGGAAAGGAACATCTCCCATTGCTCCGCTGAGATGTTTGGTAACGTCGACTTGAAAACTGACATTTGGGCGACAATTGCCATTGCTGATTCCCGGAGACTGCCATCGGTAGATACGTCATAACCCTCGACAGTAGTATCCAGTATCATGTCTATTAAGCCCTTGTCCATAGGATATGGCGAAGCTTGCGCCAGGAGAACGGCCAAAGTGACACGATCCTTCTGGAGCAGCCCAAGAGAAGTGCGTTGGAAGGCTGCGATAAACAGGTCTCGCAATATTATGTTAACTCGTGCGGTATAGTCACGCTCTTGGGCAAGTCTCTTGTTGTTATGAAGGACATCATTAAAAATATCCACAAAGTATTGAAGAGAAAATTGGTAAAAGTGGTTGAGGTGGTGAAGCTGTTCAAGGACAGCAAAGACGGCACTGCAAGACCTGCGATGATATGTATGTAGTGTGATATGTCGACTTCTGTCATTACCCTTCTGTTTCTATCATCTTGTTGGAAATTTCCCATGCTTCTTTCTTAAGTGTTTCCAAAGTTTCGATAACATTATCATCATCAAGGATATTTCCGCGAGACTCATTCAATGCCTGGAGCAATTTCTTTTCTAGCTGGCGAAGATGGATCTTGAACTCTCCTTGTACCTTGATGAGATTTGTTCGACGTTCGTCAACATCTGGACGCTCGGATTTCAACACTTCATTAAGAGACTGTGTCTGTAAACTGCTCTGCGTAACGGTGAAGTTGACAAACGTTGTTCGACTGCATATATCTGGCGGGAAAGAGGCTGAAGGATCTCGAGTAGATAGGAAGAGCTTGAAGGCGGGAGAGAAGTCGATTTCTTGTTTGCCAAGTTGAATAAGCACACGGCCACCAGTTTTCTGGTATTCTTTGTTGAGAACATGGTTGAGAATAGGGTCCAAATGTTCCGCGTCCTGAATAAGTATAGGGTTTCCAAATCGAAGAGCGCTCTCAAGTTGTTTGACAAATGAATCGTCCAAAAAGCTTGTTACCGTAAGTTTTCGATCTCTGTTCTCTTTCTCCAGGAATTCCGTAACTCGGCCAGAGGGGTCAATGATAAGCGGATATCTGTTGAAACGATTGAGAATAATGGCATTTTCTGTGCATAAATCATCAACAGGGAGCGAATTATCCTGCCATGAGAGCCTCTCATCCGCATTCGACAAATACTCCGTTATTGGATTGTGTGGTTTCAAGTCAATGTTTGATTGAGACAAATGATGCATCCAGTCGTCAACCATTGCCTTTCTGAATTGTTGATCATAAAGGCCACCGTATGCAAGGAATGCCGCTGCGATAAGAACATCGCCAACAAGAGTCGATATCTGTGTTTCGAATGTCTTGCTTCCTTCTTCCCATCTGGATCTTTCGGAGGACAGGCTGTCGAGCAGACGAACACTTCTGTCAACCTTGAACTCAACCCTGGACATTTCGCTCTTGATGGCCTGAGTTTCGCTGATAAGAGCTGCGTATTCCACCTTGTAAGTTGCAATACTATTCTCAAGGTCATTGATCGTGTTCTCGATTGCCTGCGCTTCCGCCTTAGTTTGTAATGCTTGCTCTTCCAATTGGCCCACCTCTTCTCTAAGGGGTCCAACGCGATCTAAGATTGCAGAGTAATTAACTTGCGCCTGCACCCACTGTACTAAAGGTCCACAAGCCTTGCTAGCATGGTTGACCCGTTCAAATGAGAATTCATCTTTGGAAAGAAACTCATTCAGCATCTTTGACCGGAGTTGGCGGGTCATTTGCCTCTCATTATCATAATTGACGATGCTTGCAATGAAATCATCCTTGCGGACAATACCCTGAATTGTTTTCCAGCTCTCAACCTTATGACCCAAGAGTGCACAAACCGATTCAAGCGCCAATCTGACACCTGATGGAGGGTTGCTCATTGATCTAACTTCAGTTAGATGCTGTTTCTTAATGTTGCTGACACTCTTTTGAGCTTCAAGGACTGCAGGCTCAGCATTCGCAAGATCGTGTAGCACAATTTCTTTTCGGCTAGCGACTTCTTTCTCTTGCTTCTCTAACGCGGTCTGAATTTCAAGTGATGCTGATTTGCGCTGCTCCTGCCCTCTCGTTGATCGGCAACCATTCGCTGGAGTTTTTCGTTCGCTTCAGCATCTTTCCTTTCAAGCTGATTCTTCTTCTGAGCCAAGCTAGCCCTTAGATCTCGTACTTTTGTCGACGGTATCTCTGAGCTTTTCAAGGCCCACATTGAGATGCCTCTGTTGCTCCTCCAAGTCTTCGCGTTTTTCATTGAACAGCTTAACGTAATGCGCCACAAAGTCAAGATAATGACGTGGGGTAAGGTAGGTCGACCTGTCTTGTTGTTTTTGGAGTCGTTGGTTGAATCTATGTAACGAGTAGTGAACATAAACCATAGCATTGACGACAGTATCGCGGTGAGAAGCTGGGAGGGATAGGCCACGGTACGCAACTGGTATGCTATCTGGGGCAATGAAGTTCGGCTTATCAAGATCAACCGATTGCGTAAGCTCATATCCAACCTGGTATAGAGCTTGGTCAGACCAATCTCCCATCCAATTGAGGACACATCGGTTGAAGAGCGCAGGACTGGTTGCGGCTTTAGACGATAACCCATCTTCGGGGGGGTTCATGGTAAAGACAACGTGGAGATTGTTAACAATTTGTTGAGTAAACCATTTGTGAAT